CTGACTATTGGTGTGAAGAACATCGTCGTATTCCAGCTGAACAGACACAAAATTGGTTTGTTCCTACCTCTTTTTTTTTTCACACCAGTCACCCCAATTATCTCATTTTGTGCCCTCCTGTGATGTAGCTATAAAGTTCGCATGACTGTTGAGGATACTACTGCCACAACAACTTTTGTGCTGCTTGGGAAATCGCAAGATGGTCTTATAGGCGCCTCAGCTCCTGAACTTTCTGCACGCTTTCCTCACCAGCGGGGCAATTTGCCACCTGAGCTTCTGGCTCTTGAAGGGAGGCGGTTTGTCTTTGATGTTCAGCTTCCAAAACCAGTCTATTTCGGGAGGGCCTCGCCTGAATTTACGGTGCTTTCTGTCGCAGAACAAGATCAGCCTCGCGTGCCTCGCCCTTCGCATCGTCTGCCCCCGAGTGCATCTACTTCGACAACGCCGCCTCGGTATACCCAAACTGCTCTCGACTGTTACTGTTAAATTTCATTGCTCCTCCTTATATTGCTCCCGGATGCGTGTTGCAGGTCTTCCAGTACTGCTTCCGCTTCACGTATCTCGCCCAGGCATGCACTGTCGCCTTCGTTTGCAACCCCCCACCTGTTGCCCGTCTCGCCTTCTGTTTCTTCTGCAAGGTTTGGCTGCTTGTGTTTACATTGTTTTAAGCTGTCTTTTTTTTTCCCATCAGTTCTACTTATTTACTTTGGGTTTACAACATGTCAGTCTTTTTCTCAATTTGCATCGCCCACCCGTGCACCAGTAACTGAGTTGATGTTTTTACGGTATTCATGTTGTTCCCTTATTAACTTGCGTAGTTGGTTTCGGATGCTCCTTTGTTTCCTTTCCTTTATGGATCGTAGGTTTTTGTTCATGTTAACTTGTACTTATGTATCCCTTCTTTCTCAAATTTAGGAGTGTTGTTCTGACTCCTTCTCCTTCACATGCGCCATCTTCCAACATTTCCTATGCAAGGTATTTTTACTTTTTATTGACCATCGGTGCTCTTGGTTTCTGCAGTCTCTTGCCTGCATGTTGTTTTCCCTTCGGGCCTTGCTTTGTTGTTTATTGGTCAATCATACCGTTTGCATTCTAAACTTTGTTTTCCCACCATCCTAACAGGCACTTTGAATAGCTTTACTTTTGTCACTTCTCTTATCTTTCAAAAATTAGCTCCCAAAGAGGAAACTCAAATACCTGCTTTAATATGTTTGACGCGTTTGTGCTCTGCGATTGCTGTCTTGGTCCCTTGCTTAGGTATGTTTATTGCCGTTCAGTTCCAGCCCTGCCTCTGGTTGTCGGTCTCAGACTACTTGTCATTTTTATTCTTCATTTTATTAGCGGGCTGGATTCTACTCGTGCCATTTGTTTTTTGGGGTTTTGTTTGCCATGCATGTCTTGCTTGATAAAGTTTCCTTTAGAATGGTCAACGACACTAAACCTGTATGTGTGTATTTGAATATGGTGTAGTTTCCTTGCTGGTTGCATGTTCGTTTGCCGTGAGGTTTTAAATGTTTTCGCCTCCTTTTATTTAGCCTATATGCTTATAACATGCTTTCTTTGTTCACCTCCTGTTGTTTAGGCCGAGAGATACATTCGTCCCTTGTCCTCCTGTTTCGCAGTCCCCTGATCGGTACTTCTTTTTTCCTTTCTTGTGGTGCATTACCTCTTGCCTGTGTGCTTAAATCATGGACATTGTTCCGCAATGTCGCTTTATTTGTATGCTTTACAGGCCTGAGGGAGTCGTCCATAGTCCTGTGTCCTCACCTAATACTGATAGAAAGCGCTCAAGGAAATCTACTCCACGCAAAACGGAAGCTAAGCCAAGGTCCTTTTCTCAGGCCACACTTTTTATTATTCTTCTCTTCCCTGCCTTTTTATGTGCTGTCATGGACAAACATAGATTGCACAAAAAGAAACACGTCGAAATGTTGTGTGCGCTTATTTGAATTAGCATGCTCGCTTTTTGTGCCTTTTACTAATTTGGACTGGATATGTTTGCCCTCATATTCCAGTTGTAGGTGTTTGCCCTTTTTGCCATTGAATTATTGTTCCTGCATGTCGTGTTTGCTTGTCTGCTTTACAGCCCTCATGGAGTAGTGCATCCTCCTATCCGCTCACCGAAGACTGATCGAAAGCGCTCAAGGAAAGCAATTCCGCACAGAGCCGAGGCCAGCTCGAGGTCCTTTTCTCAGTGCACACTTTTCTTTACTCTTCTCCTAGCTGCCTTTCTTGTGTACTGTCTTGCAGGAATATCAAGTGTGGCACAAAATACACGGACAAATGTTATATGCGCTTATTTAAATGAATGTAGTTTTATTTTACTTGCCCTTTCCTTATCTATGTTGGATGTGTGTGCCCTCATATTCCAGTCGTAGGTGTTTGCTCTTTTTTGCCATCGACCTGTTTGATTAAAATGATATTCTACCTTTTTTGTTTTTTTTAAAAGGGAACGTTGTCACTCTATGGATTCTGATGAGGTGTCTCCATTCCGTGCTGTTCGGAAAACTGCAAATCGGCCTGTCCGTTGTCCTGATATTGAGTCTAGCCCCATTCAATCGTGAGTTTTAAAAGAATATCGTTTTCCGTCGTTCTGTTGTTCTCTTGAATTGCCTTTTAACTTAATTTGCTTTGTTCTTCTTTATAGAGAAGGTTCACCAGTTCGCCCTGACTCGATTAGGCGTCGACGTTTGGTCACTCAATCAGGTGTGGTTGGTGGCACTGCTGATTCGACTGTCGCCAGTGGATGACAATTATGAGTTGGATGATCCAGTTTCAGAGCATGATGGATCACCGCCCCATGAAGATTTTGTCTCCTCTACGCATGATGAGCCTGTTCTTGACGTTTTGGATACCCAACCGTCCATTATTGAAGCTCCCGCTCCTGCCAGAGCACAGCGTGTTCGTACACCGTCTCGCAAGGCCATTGAGTCATCAGCACAAGGTTCTGGAAAAAAACAAAGTACTCCCAAGTCTTCGAGCAAGGAACGTGCCAAGAAGCAGCTTTTCACCAGCTGAAGGTGCCTTTCGACAGTCGATGGTTGGCCAACTGCTGCTGTTTAAGTTGTGCCTAATTCATGTACTGCTTTTGTTTGCTTGCTTGAATGCTGGTTCTTCGTTTTGTTTTTAGCCTGGTTTCTGTTATTGTTGCTTTTGCTGTCCTGTACTTTGTCGAAACCTTCGCAGGGTATGCTGCCTTAGTCATCTTTCGATTGACCAGGAATTATGGGACCGTTCATTTTGTATCATAAAAGTGCTTGTATATGAATGCTGGGCAGGTTTCTTTTGTTTAATTTCAACAAAACTGTTCGGTTTCGTTGCGCCTTATCTTACATTTATATAGTTTGTCATTTCCCACAGCTAATCCTGTTCTTTGTCACACCCATTTTAATCAGTTAACTACGTTGTGGTTGGTTGTTCTCGCGATACATTTTTTCCGGTTTGTTTTTTTTTTTTGTGCATTTGTGCATTGCTTGGTGAGCATCGTCTCTTTTTACCACTGTCAAACCTCTCTTTATTCATCGGGACAGGCTGTACAAAACCTACTTTCGTTTAATTGTGCGGGACTCATCTATCATATTTTGTTTTATCAAAACGCAAAAGAAACTGTACAGAGAAAGTCGATCAGGTCTGTCTTTGTTACCTACGGTCCTACTTTGTTTTTGCAGCTTCCAGTGATTTTTACTGAAGATGAATGTGTGCCATTTTATGTTAAATGACATTTATGAAGTCTTTGTGTTCTTAATGTTTCTTTCTAATATACCCTCTTGCATTTAATGCCCTGTCTATGATTTGTGTACATGTCATTTCCTTGTGTCAGGTAGTACTTCTCAACTGACATGGTTGATTAAATTATTACTATTATGATAGATATCTTTTGCTTAAATCTATCCTGTTCATCTTCTTCTTCCATTAATGCTCCTAACACTTTTGTTTGCCATTTTTAGCTTCTGATGCATTTATTAATGGTCTGTTTAGTGAACTGTTGTATCATGGTGTTCTGTACGTGAAATTCATTTGTCATATCTCATTTGCTGTCGTTTATTTCTTGCATGGTTAGCTGTTGTACAAATGGTGAGCCTTATTGCTGTCTGTAATTTATGTTGTGCTGCTCTCTATATGCCCGTGTTACTCAGTTCTGTATCATTTCCATACATTTATGATTTGTGCTCTTGTCTTCCTTACAGGCCTCAGCCAGTCAGTGTACAAATCTCATTCCCGGTTACAGTACTGCCAGGAAACGACGGCGTGTGCTGTTATCTGCTGAATCTGTGCCAGGAACACCGCCTATTAATCCTTCTATAAGGCGTCGAACAACTGGTTTTGACAAGCGTAGTAGATTATTCCCAATGAATAGTTCGGCTGCCAGTGTATATCCTCCTCAATCAGACTTTCGTTTTGTTGACTCCCCTCTTGGTTCTCCAAGGTCTCCACATGCTTGTACTTCCCTTCACATGCAAGCATCAACAGAATCAGAAGACGCCGACACTCCACCTTCCCAGCAGCATGACTATGTCAGAATTCTTGAACATGGTCTGCCAGATCATGAATGCCAATTCTGTGGTGCTCGGTTCTGGTATGAAGAACGGCTTAATAGGCATCGTTCAACTGCTCCTGTTTACACATTATGTTGCCAAAAGGGGCGCGTGCGACTGCCTTTTCTTCAGCAAACTCCACCTTATCTGGAACAGCTTCTTGGTATCAATGGCGGTCCTATGGCTGTACACTTCAGAGAACATATAAGGTCCTATAATGCAGCCTTTTCCTTTACATCATTTGGTGCTCGGCTAGATCCTCGGGCATCACGGACACGAGGACCGTACTCATTTGTTATTTGTGGTGAGAATTACCACCGTATGGGCTCTTTACTACCTGTTGCTGGTCGCAAACCAAAGTATTCGCAGTTGTACGTTTTTGATCCTCAAACCGAGGTTTCGGATCGGCTTGCTAATTTTTCGTCGTCAGATTGTTGCTTGCAGCCCGAGATAGTATCAGGATTAATGAAGCTGTTTGATGTCACAAATGACTTGGTCAGGTCTTTCCGAAGAATTCGAACTCAGCTGTCAGATTCTGCCTCTGCAAATCTCCGGTTGAGGATTGTGGGCGCAAGAAACATAGATTCTCGCCAATATGAGCTTCCAACAGGAAATGAGTTAGCAGGTTTGATTCCTGGGGACTTTCTACCTGACAAGGAAGAACGTGATATTATTATTGATCATAGATCAGAAGGTCTTAAAAGAATAACAAGTCTCAACCCAAAGTTTGATTCATTGCATTTTCCTGTGCTATTCCCATATGGTGAAGATGGGTTCCACGTAAACATACCATATGATGGTGTTCATACTCCACCAACTCTTAAACGCAAATTTGTTACTCAACGTGAATACTATGCTTTTCGACTACAGCATAGAGATGATGAGGGCCAGACTTTAATGCGCGGTGGGAAAGCTCTGCAACATTATGTGGTCGATGCATTTTCAACTATTGAGCAGAATCGACTTTATTATTTGCGGTCTCATCAGGAGGATCTCCGATCTGAATTATATCATGGTCTTACTGATGCTTTTGATAGAGGTGATGTCACAGGCGATGATATTGGTAATGTTATTCTACCTTCGTCCTATACCGGCAGCCCTAGGTATATGAAGCAGTTGTATTTGGATGCAATGGCTGTTGTTCATCATCATGGCAGTCCGGATCTTTTCATCACCTTTACATGCAATTCTCAGTGGCCTGAAATTACAGAATCATTTCGCCAACTTTGTGGGTCAAGAAGCGAGCTTAAACCAGAAATTGTTGCTAGGGTTTTCCGTATGAAGCTTAATGCTCTGGAAGATGAACTGAATCGCTCACAATTTTTTGGAAAGACTGTTGCAGGTCTGTTCTGTTGTCTTTGCTGTTTTGATGCATTTGGAATTTTTTTTTAGTTATTGTAGATCGAGTCTGATTCTTTTTCTGTTCGAGCTTTCTTTACTTTCTGAAATATGATTTTACAGCATGGCGTGTGACTGATCCATGTGCAGGAATCAAGACAGTTGAGTTCCAGAAAAGGGGCCTGCCTCATGTCCATATATTGTTGTGGTTGGACGACAAAAGTAAACTCAAGACACAAGCTGATATAGATGCAACTGTTAGTGCTGAGTTACCGGATCCAGAACTTGATCCAGTTGGGTATGCTGCTGTTACGAAATACATGCTCCATGGCCCCTGTGGTCACGATAAACCAACAAATGTGTGTATGAAAGACGGCAAGTGTTCGAAGTATTTTCCAAAACTGTTCAATTCAGAGACTACCACAGACCAGTTTGGTTATACAGTGTACAGGCGTCGTGACTCGGGAATCACAGCATCCAAAGGCAGTGTGGAACTAGACAACAGATTTGTCGTTCCATATAATAGGAACCTCCTTGTGCTTTTTCAGGCACACATCAACGTTGAGGTATGTCATCAAGGACGCCTTATTAAGTACCTGTTCAAGTACATAACAAAAGGGCCAGATCGGTCCATTGTAGTTGCAGAAAATACTGTACCACCTGTCGCTGAAGGTTCTGCACCGCTTGATATTTCTTCACTTCGACCACAACCAGTGGCTCCTATTGATGAAATTAAGCGCTACCTAGATTGTAGGAGCCTATCTTCGTATGAGGCAGCATGGCGACTTTTTGAATTTCCTATACATGAAAGAACACCTACAGTCCAACGGTTATGTGTCCATCTTGAAGGAAGACATAGTGTTCCTTATAGAAAAAAGCAGAAGCTTTCTCGGATACTGGCACGTGATGCTGTTACAGAGACGACTCTAACACAGTGGTTTGCTCTTAACCAGACAGATCCAGATGCAAGGAGTCTACTCTATGCTCAGACTCCGAATAAGTATATGTGGAACCTTAAGAATAAAATTTGGTCTAAACGGAAGAGAGGCTTTGCAGTAGGCAGGATTGTTTATATTAACCCTGGTTGCGGAGATACTTTTTATCTTAGACAGATTCTTACCAAGGTCCGGGGTGCAGTTAGCTTTGCTGATTTGCGAACAGTGAATGGTTTCCCATGTCGAACATACCAAGCTGCTTGTCAACGTCTAGGTTTGCTGTCTAATGACGATGAATGGTTGCTTGTTCTTCAAGAAGTAAATCAGTGGGGTATGTGTGGTCTCCTAAGATATCTCTTTGTGTCCATGCTCATGTTCTGTGAACTTGCTGATCCATTGGCACTTTTTGACCAAACATGGGAGATGCTTTCAGAAGACATTACGTATCGATGTCAGCGTAGTGTGAATTTTAATAATCATCTTATCCCGCCGGATCTGCCAAAGAATTCTTTATTGTGTGAATTACAGCGTATGTTGGCTTCTTATTCCACAACACTTTCGCATTTCAACCTCCCATTGCCTACGGTCCAAATCCTACCTGCCAATGAGTCCATGTATTCTGAATTTCACCTGCAGCGTTCTGCTTCTTTGGAATCTGCCTCTCCAATTCCCAATTTATCCTGCCTGAATGAACAACAAACAGCTGCATTTCATTTGGTAGTTGATTCTGTTATCTCGCCTGTACCGGATGCTGCCCATTTCTACTTTCTGTATGGACATGGAGGAACTGGCAAAACTTTCCTCTATAAGACAATTCTTGCACACCTTAAGGAACTTGGCAAAATTGTCCTTGTGGTCGCTTCTTCCGGTATTGCTGCAACTCTCCTTCCAGATGCATCCACTGCGCATTCTCGGTTTAAGATACCATTGGAAATTGATCAAGCTTCTTCATGCAACATAAAGAAAGGTACGCAGCTTGCTCAGTTAATACTCGATGCATCTCTTATTATATGGGATGAAGCACCGATGGTGCATCGCTTATCGTTTGAAGCAGTCGATCGTGCTTTTTGTGATATCATGAATGTACCTTTTACTGGGATTCATTACCGACCATTTGGAGGGAAAGTCATGCTGTTGGGGGGCGATTTCCGACAGACACTTCCGATTGTAGCTGATGCTGGGAGAGAGGAAAGTGTTGATGCATCTTTAACTTGCTCTTACTTATGGAGTACCTGTACTGTTCTCCAGTTAACAGAAAACATGCGCATCACAACTTCTGCTGGAAATGAATCCGTTACGTTCAATGGGATGGACTTTGCAACATGGACTCTTGCTGTGGGTAATGGAACAGTACCAGGAAAGTGTTTCCACCAAAATCAGCCGGCTGACTGGATAGAGATTCCACCACAATTATTGATTTCTGCAACTGAAGCACCTATTCAGACAATGGCTTCTGAAATTTACACTGATTTTGCAGCTCGCTTTCACAGTGCTGCATACTTAACTGAGCGCTCCATAATTACACCGACCAATCGGAATGTGACAGAGATCAATTCCCATATGCTTGCATTGGTTCCAGGTCAAGTGCGTACTTATTTCAGCAGTGACACTTTACACACTGATGCAGTTGATCCATCTTGGCTCGAAGCAGAATACCCCACGGAATTTCTTAACGGTTTATCCTTCAATGGATGTCCTGAACACCAGATTGATTTGAAGGTATTCACACCGATCATGCTGCTTAGAAACTTGAATCCAGAAATAGGATTATGCAATGGAACCCGTCTTATGGTCGTTTATCTAGGTCATTATGTGATCAAAGGAGTTATTATGGGTGGGACATTCAACGGCAAGACTGTTGCAATACCAAGAATTGTTCTGAATATCAATGACCGACGTTGGCCATTTGTTCTTAAGCGGCGACAATTCCCTGTCAGACTTTGCTATGCCATGACGATAAACAAGAGCCAAGGCCAGACGCTAATTAGTGTTGGTGTGTATCTTCCAAAACCTGTTTTCAGTCATGGACAATTGTATGTGGCTGTATCACGTGTCAGATCAGCTAATGGCCTGCGATTCCTTATTGTGAACGAAGATGACATTCCAGCCAATTATACTCGCAATATCGTTTACGAAGAAGCATTTGCAGATCTACAACTTTCTGGAGATTTTGACCTGAACTTTCCTTAGAGGTCTGTTATAGAGACAACACAATTATTTCCTGTCGATGAATCAACAGAGTTATGTTTGGTATAACTAATTTGGTATCTTACAATGCAGGCCTCGCCAACCTGCTCATGCTGCCTTTGTTCTGACCTGAAATATTGTGCCCTTAATGCGGTAATTAGACTCTTACACATGATTATAGAGGTTTTGTGCATTCTGATACTTGACCATTTATTGATTTAGGTTTTTTCCCCTCCTCAGGAAAGACTATTATGCTTCTGCAGTATCCATGATGTTTGTTGATGTGTCTGCTTTTGCCCAGCTCTTTCCAAGACAATTAATTCCTTTGTTGGCAGATCTTTTGTACGCAAAAAACGATGTTCTCATGATGCATTTGGAATGATATACTAAACTTATCAACTTGGCCTGGTATCTAACTTCTGTTCCGTCAAACAATGTACTCCCGCTTATTGGCTTAGTATTGTACCTAAACTTTTATTCTCTGCAAAAAAAACAAACAAATAAACTTGCCTCAGGATATCTTGTGTTCGTCTACCAAATTATAAATCAACTAGCCATTAAAGATCCATTTATGTATATCTGCCTACTTGCTAACGAACCTAAATTTGACTATTCCCAAAACAACTATTACGGTCCACTTTGCTTCTGCAGCATGCTTGGCCCATTGTTTTGCTGCTCAGCCCAATTGCTAAAACCCTATTCTGTCTATTTCTTCCTCATATAAATCATCGCTTCACCATGATCTTTCCACACCTTCTGCCATTTCAATATTTATTACCAGCTGTGCTAAGCCATGTCAGATGATTACACGTACGCATGGGCACCCAGAGGTTTCTTTCTAAATTCCTCTCTGTGGCTTTGGAATTATTACCTGCATCGTGAATTTGTATCTATTCTGAATTGTTATGATTTGGGTCGTACTTAGATCTGCCTGCCGCGCCTTTGACGATTAAATCGGTCCGCCTTGGACATAATGAAGGACCCATAGTCCTCCGCCTGCTCAATCGATGGGAGGAAGTGGATGCTTCATCACAGGCGATGATTATCCATATGCTGTTCATCGATAGAAATGTGCGCTCTGTTATGCATTCCACTCATTGCGTGTATCGTTGTACTAACATTTCCTTGCCTCTTTTTTCTCAGCGTGATCTGATCGAGGGTTTTGTGGGTACTGACCGACCAAATTGTACAGTAGCATCTTTACCGATCGACCAGATCTATCTACTGCCATGGGTTAGGGCAGTTGGAAAACGGCCGACTAATCGAACATCTGACTGTTTGTTTCGGCTTCAGATTCAAACTGAAACAGTTCTTAACGAACTGCATGAGATACCACCGTACCAGTGGTTTCCAAAGATAGGATTCAATGCCACGCCATTCTCGCAATTATCTCAGTTTGTGGATTCAGTGATCGAGTATAGAGGTAATTAACCTATTCCACTCATTGTACTTTTACATGTTACTAAGACCCCTATTTAATTTCATATAGATGTTGTTGGTCGGCTGGTGAGCATATCAGACTACGAAGACAATGGAGGAATGCGTAAAACTAGATCTGCTGTTTTACAGGATCAGACGTACGTATTCTCTGTTGTTGATTTCTTGCCGCGCCTAGCTATAAACCATTGCCTAACTGATGCTTGGATATATGTTTTCTTTCATAGTGGCCAATGTGTTTTGATTAGGTATGCTTTCCCACATATGACTTTAGCAAAACCATTTATCGCAAACTTAGAACGCCAGGGACCAGTTGTGTATGCAATTACAGCACTACATGTCAGCCAGTTGAGTGGTACATTTTCTACCTGAGGTTTAGTTTTCTTACTCTCATCTGTGCTGCTCTTATTGCTAACTCTTATTCATTCCTAACAGGAAACGGTCAGTTATGCTTAGTTACCACAAAGGCATCCAGAATCATCGTAGCCTACTACACAAAGCCTTTTAAACAAATAAAAGATAGGTGAAGTATCATATGCTTTTTTTACCAATGATTGTACATGTATCGGCAAAAACTTACACACTATTTTGTTCCAGCTTCTCGCATGTGCATCGTCCTGTTCAACTAGGACATAATCCAATTCCGACTCCAAGATTTGTGCGACCCAACATACCAGTGAAAACAACAATTCTGCAGCTGTTCGCCACACTGGAGGACTTATCAAGGCCATATGATGTATGTTTCGTGCCACTTTTTATCATTTTCTTAACGCTTGATGCACAATACTGATATTCTCATGTTCACTTCTGCAACAAGATATCTGTCTGGTGCTTGATTAGGATTAGACGCATCAACAGGAACCAAAGATTGTATCATTGTGACTCTGATGAGGATGACCCTTATTCAACAACTTATTCATATAGGTACATTTAAAGAACAATATTGTGACTATACGATGTTTTTTTAGTTATAAGTTTTATCCTTATGTGTTTTCCTTGGATTTAGCTTTAGGGTCTCTTGCGAAGATATCTCATGTCAGGGCACAACAAAAACATACGATCTCCTCTTTAGCCATTATGCAGGGACTGCCCTTTTGCAAAACACCGCTGAAGCTCTTGCCAATATGACAGAGGATATGGTGAATGAAATTTTGGATCCTCTTGAAGGAAAGCTTTTCACTGTGGAGATTGTTCCATATTATGAGGCAGATTACTTCACCAATATACTTAACGTCGTCACTATATGGGATCCATTAGCATATGCGATCATGAGTTAGTTTCCAACACCTTTTGTAGCTGGCAGATCTACGCTTCTTTTTGGTCTTGAAAACTCAAACAGACCGTTTATTAGTATTATTGTGTGATTTTCCTTAATTTTGCGTGTATGGAAAAAGGTTCCTCATGCTTTTAGTGTGCGGACGAAAGTGGTCAATCAATTGAGTTCCAAACAAAATTATATTCTGCATACATGGATTGTTAAAAAGTATTTACGATTGGTGATCTACACTGTGAACTTTGGACATGGAGAAAAAACACATATGGGCCCATAGTAAGCACGCACATTAGTTAGTTTTGGTCACCTGCGCGAAATGGACCAGGCCACATTCCTTAAACAACCAATTGGCCTGGCCCAATAGATCTATTTGGTCCTTCCCTTTAGGGTTTCCTCCTCATCGTCATGCTTATCGCTCAAAGGAACAACTGACGCAACAACCAGCAGCTTCGATGATGAATCGAACACAAGAAATCAACCGCTTGCGCCATGGATATGCAGAACATACGATTCAGGTCCGTCATTTGCATACATGGCGAGAAGAAGCAACAAAGGATCACGAAGTGAATTATCTTCTTCTCGACAAAAAGGTTTTAGTTTGCCGTTCTGTTTATTCGTATCATATGTTCTGCTTCATTTAATTGAGAATGCTTCTAATTCATGAGGTGCAACAGGGAGTGATGATCGTTGCCACAGCAGATCAAACAACAAGACAGCAAGAGCTATCACATCTCAGGGTGGGCGATATCTACAACATTTCATCCTTCTTTGTCAATCCTACAAGGATTGTGGGTCGTTGTTGCTCGAACAGTCAAGAATTGAAATTTATTCAGAACACCACATTTCAAACTGTGCTTGAACCCCCACCATCAGAATACCATCCAACCAATATGTCAGAACCAGTTCCTTTCTTGGATCTATATGCGCGCGCATTTGTCAATAAGGAACGATCAGGTGCTTCATCAGTCCTATACATTCATCTTCCGAACATTTCCTGTCAAATTATCTCCATGCTCTTTAATTAGTTTGTTATGAACCAGATGTTATAGGCCGCGTGGTCGCCATCTCAAAGACTTATGTGGAGGAATCGTCTACAAGAACACCAATGCGGCAACTCATTCTCCTGGAAGATGATTGGTACAGTGTTGGCATCTGTAGCTTTTACGTTTGTCAGTTAATACATGTTATTTAGAGCTAATGTCCTTTGCTTTTCAATTCAGTGAGCGACAAATATTGACACAAATCGTAGGCGACCCAATCATACACATACTTGAGGCCATAATTTCCGAAGAAGAGCGAAATGGACCAGTAATAGCAACTTTGACTTCCATGATCGGCATCTATTCTGAGGGTGAGATTTATGTCGATACAACACTATGTCATTCCGTTTACCCTCGCTCATATACTTTAGGTGCAGGCAAAATACTCTACAGGAACACATGCAGCACGAGAATAATTACTGACCAGAAGTTGCGAATGCATCGGCCAATGTTTTACCGGTTTGCCACCTTTTGCTTGCGGTTACAAACTTTTATGTCCTGGCTGGTATGATATCATTGTGTTCTGCGTTCCTATGCAGACACTCAAGCTCAAACATGCCGGTTTACTGCATTGATCAGACCCGAAGCACGGAACTAATAAAACCCTTGCGACGACTGGGTCGGTGTCACTCAATAAACGACTTGCTTTTTTTGCTGGCTGAAGATCGAGCATTGGATGGCAATCCTCCCATCAATGTATGTCCCTTTTCATTTTACACCACTGTTAGAATGTTCAGATTAGATGACCTCTGCCCTTTTTTGCTATTATTTCCATAGGCGACATTCCGGTGCCTCGCAACAATCCAATCGATTGATACACAGTTCGGATATTTTGCATGGTTATGCCCTGAGTGTTATCCACAGAAGCACAAACTGTTCCCAAACGATGAATGTTCCAGATGCTCTGCAGGAATTTTTCATGATGATAGAATTAGAAGGTATACAAATGTCTTCGTAAAGATGTCTACGCCCAAATAGGTCTTGAATGTAATCATAGTAGTAATCTATAAAAACAGTTTTTGTATCTCAGCAGACGTGTTTGATGAGACAAACCAGACGACATTCTTGATTAGCCATGAAGCTGCTGCTGCACTACTCCAAACAGCTCCAAGCTGGGCCCTTGAAACACAAGATGTTGAGCCTCTTCTGCAAGCGATCGTTTACCGCACATATGTATTTGAGGTCAGGCAATTACCTTGGTGCGATCAGAATCGTGAACGATTTGAAGTTGTTGCAGTCTGGCACCGTCATGC